GTTGTTATCTATTTTTTATACCCCTAACCTAAGTGATAAGGGTAGTCCACCCCATTTTTTTTACGCTTTGGGCAAAATTTTTTATTTTTGTTTTTTTATGATGTGGCATTAAAAATACATACAAACCTAAATTTTCACCTATCATGAACCTCTATTTTTTATAGCGATATTAGTAATTCAATAATTTTAATTTAACAACAAATTGTTTTTAAAAATTGTTAGAATAACTTAAATTAAAAACGTGAGTATTATTGCGTATATGCCGGGTATAATAGTATTTATACAAATTCAATATACTATTTATCGAGCTATTTATTGACCTTTTGGGTATATGCCATGTGGAAAAATTTGGATATTTACCCAAATTTCAATATGCCTACCGAGTACTTACCCATCACTGACCTTAGTCACAGCAATGCGTGGCCGGGTCTGCTAGTATAACCTTTGAAACTATTTTATTAATTTAACATTCACTAAGTAGATAAGATAGCTTTAGAAAACATCACAATAGTTTTAGAAAACAAGATTTAAGAAATAACAATTTTCGTTATGATTTTGAAAATATGCCTAAGACTAACTAATTTTTTAATAAATGAGCTGCATCAAATCGTAATTCCTTAGACAAAATAAATTAAAATTTCCATTTATAACACTCTAGCACTACACTACATGTTTCCATCGCCTTTTCATATATTTTACTAGCTAATTTATTTTCCTTTACAGGATCCCCCAAGGTTAGAAATCCTTTTTTACTCAGAAAGAGAAAACATATTAAACTTCTTAACAACTAAAAGAATTTGAGACGACGTGGCACGTCTTTTTTCTTTGGAATAAAAGGACAAACAAACTTAAATAATCAACAAGCTGACAAAAACAATTTTCCCAAACAGGAAGCAAAATATAACAAAAAACGACATTTCCATTAGGATTTCAGCCAATGGGGTAAAAAGCACGCATAACGTAAAAAGGAGTATGGTACGTCTTTGGAATACTATAATAACGCACATCGAGCAGAAGTTTGTTAAAATAAATCAGACATATAGGTGATAATTTTACTAAATATACAGGGTGGTTCGAACTGTATTCCGGAAACTTCGACGGCATATTCTGCAGATAAAAAAATTCAACAAGTTCGTATAAATGTATGTCTTAAAATGCTTAGTTTCGTAGATACAGGTTGTAGAAGTTTCATTTTTATTTCGATTTTCCAAATAATTTCTGTAGTAACGTCAATATTTAGATGAAAATTGGTGTTTTTTGACATGAGAAATTTGATTTTGATGTCAATATGAATCCTATTTATAGGGGGCGCCATCTCCGTATTTTAACTGTTTTGAAGAGTAATAACTTTTCGTCCGTACCTGTACAAAACTACTGGGGAAAAATATACAGTTCGGTGATTTTTGCGTAAAAAATGTCTCAAGATATTCAGAATGGAAATAATCAATACATGTAATTATTGACAAAAAATAAACATGTTGAGCAGATTAGCTATTTGTCTGAAATGGTAAATTTAAAAACTTTTTTATTTTTTTAATTAATCAACAATTTTTCTTCGAAAAAAAGGATGATAAAAGTCAGTCATGATACAGTTTCTGTTGAACTTTCGGCACAAAAACATTTCAAATTTATGATTTCAGTCTATAATAACTATTTAGTAAAAATGTTTAATTTATGTCAATGACCACCAGGTATTGATAATATCGATTCTAAATATCTCGAGAACCATTAGTCGCAGCGAATTATACCAAGAGACTTTTTTTACGTAGAAAGCGCCGTAAATGTATACTTTTTATACTCAGTAGTTTTATACAGGTACCGATATAAAGTTAGTACGCTTCCAACCAGTTAAGAATCTGTAAGTGGCGCCCTCTTACAAGTAGGAGTCATATTGACATCAAAATCAAATTTTTCATGTCAAAAAATTCGCAGACACCAATTTTCATCGAAATATTGACGTTACTTCAGAAATTATTTGGAAAAGATTGAAATATAAATATGAAACTTCTACACCCTGTATCTCCGGAACTAAGCATTTTACGACATACATTTATACGAACTTCTTTACTAATATTTATAACATTACCAGTTTTTTAAATTTTAAAAGTGTCACATCAAAAATTAAAAGGGTTTAAAGACGAAAATATCAAGAGACAACTTTTAATCAGCATTAAACGGTTTACACAATTTTGCTAACAAGAGAGAAGTCAGTGGCGCACGTTTTTTTTTAGAAAAATAATCCAGTGAGATATATTCCTTGTGCACGTCTTGGGTGAATCTGTCGATAAAATATTTCTTTCAAATCGGAAGAGCACATGGAAGAAAATTATAATAAATAAAAATATAATAAAAATTTTAACCCCCTGTAACACAGCAGAATCGGACCTATGTTGATATAAAAATTAAATCTTATTTTTAGGCGTGGCATCTCCCCAAGACAGATGGCACGTTTTTTGAAACACCCTGTATATAATTATTCAAGGTTTTTTGTCAACGATTTGGCTTTCATTGTTAGATATACAAATTCAAAGAACGAAAATTTCAAAATTGAAAAATTATTTAGAATTGTTCTTGAAAGTTTACACATTTATCGAAACACCGGTTCCCATTAGAACACCGAAGTTAAGCGATGGAAGGCGATACTAGTGGATGGACGGGTGACCGGTTCGAAATTCTATATCATGCTGTTGTCCAATAAAGGCAAAAGTGTAAAATCTATTGATACACACTGCTTATTCACGCCGATTCGAGGCCGGATGAGATCGGATATCTCGTGAGTAAGAGTTGATTTAGACACTTGCCAAGTCGGTAGGCCATTGACCATGATATGACCAAGGACCGCGGTTCGGATTCCGCGTAAAGAAAGTAGGCCCCGTCCAGATTAGCTCTGGCAGCAAAAAGGAGACGTTAACTGAAATCTTTACTTTTACTTTTAAATGAAAAATTACAAATTTTCAATATTGTACCTACCTACTTTTTGAATAACAGTAAGGTCGTAAATAAAATAGTATGCAAACTTCAGAAAATAATGTGCATTAATGTGATGAATTAAATATTACCTTACTCGATACATGAAATAGGCTAATCAAACGACATTTCCATAAAGCTTTCATTCAAAATAACGCAAAGATATAAAAAATAATGTTAAAAAAGTATTGCGACATTTTCTAATCCTATTATCCTTTCACGAAAAATACTACTTTTATCCATTCAAGACCCATTTCAATAATTCAATAGGATCAGGACCTAGAGACCCAACCCTAACTAAATAATTTATTTGATTAATTAGTAATTTTATTTCAGACTGATAGAAAGGTCGGCGACAATAATAAAAAATGGTGAATTTGCGTTTCTTTAATTTTATAAACTCAAATGAAGGTAAAATAAGCTTTCTTACAAATAGCACATATATTATGTATTAGTTATCTAGTACAACATTTTAAGCAGCACTGTATAAATTCTTATCACTAAATTTCTGTTTCTTGTTTAAAAATTCTTTAGTGTGATTGAACAATGTGAACGAATAGTGTATGTTAGCTTCAATTTGTGAAAATATCCATTGATAGTTGACAAAAGCTCGATTCAATGACAGACTGAAGACCACTTCTGGACATCGCTAAAATGTCATTGTTGACTTCTTGACTTCTATTGTTCTTGTTTTATATATTTTCTATTCTAAACCCTGTTATGAACCAAAATAGTTTTTCTATCTAGATAAACTATTTTATATTTTAGAAAGTTTAGCATACAATTTTGAAGATCGTGTATAGTTTAAGATTACGATATTTATAGCAAGTAAGGACAGACCCACTACAGTAAATACCTAGTATAGTGCTGATTTCAGGACATTTCTTCTATTTTTAATAAGTTTTTCTTAAAAATGCTATTTATTTATTTATTTATTAATATTTTTGAGACTGTGAAAACATATTTAAAAATATTTTAGAATTATGTAAAGCGATCAGAAAGAAAACCAAAAATGCAATAATATTAGTGATGGGAAAAGCCGATTAATTTCAATAATCGAGTACTCGAGTATCAAGCGATTGCAATAACCGAGCGATTGCTCGAGCGAAATATCGCTCGTATTTAAAAATACGGTTTTTCGTCCGCCGCTTGTTGTAAGTACTCGTTAACGCCAAGCGCCAAGCAGTAAGTTGCGTGCGCAGGGTACAGATTCTTTCGGTGATGAATGGCAAGTAGCAAACGACGAGCGGATCGCTTGATTTAGTTTATTTCAAAGCATTGTCGATGTAGGTCGTAAAATTTTGTCTCCCAGATACGCAACGGATAAATATATATACGGCGTCGTATAAATTTGCTACCTGTAATGTGTGTAGAAAATTCGCTCGGCTTTTTACCGAGCATGTCCTCGGATTTCAATTTATATCATTCTAGGATCGCTTGGTACTCGAGTGATCCCATCAATAAATAATATACAGAGTGTTCCTTTTAACAAAAATCATCGATCCACTCACACATTTTTGAGCCACCCTGTAGAAGTTAAAATATTTTCCTGAAATACATCTTAATAAATACTTTAGGAAATCACTTATATAAAATACCTAAGATTTTTATTATAGGAGCTATAGAGATACCCGACGCACTGTTACCGGAGCTGTATAAAGTAGTATAGGAATTACTTTGGATCGTGGCAAGTCCTATTATTAGCGGCAACTTTTTGTTTGGTATCCTATTAAAAGTGAATTCCGCTATTCATGAATATATTGTAAAAATCAGATTTTGATTAACTACACGATGAGCGTATTAATCATGCAGCGTAGACTATTAAGTAAATATAAATACCGTATGATCGAAAAAAAACGGCGTCCAGTTGGCTGGGAAATGACGACCGATGACATTTCCCATATAAATTTACATATAAAATGACAGCGATCTTCATTTCATAGCCATCGCTGACGCCGTTTTTTCTCGATCATACGGTATCTATTTTGGTAAAATTACTTTTTCCAGATATCAAATTGGTTAATAGGACTTACCAGTAAAAGGATGAGGAATACAGCCGCCATTTCGTCTATTTATTTTAAACTTCTTCTTCCTTCATCAGAAAATCTAAGTATTTTCTTTTGGAGGCCATATGGTATCTGCAATAAAAAAAATAAGTATATTAAAATAAATAATTAATTTCGAGAAATAATATACCTAATTTAAACATTGTACAATATTTATTTTTTTTGTGATTTTGTGATTTAAGCTAAGTAAAACGATTTAACTTAAAACAAGGTTTTCACAGCAACATGTTATAGAAGTTAATCTACCAAAGTTCTATATAAAACAATGTTTTAACTGACTTATCAATAACAGAAACTTTTGCTCGGATAACTAACAATAGAACTAAGTAGTTAATTTCGTTTAAGGCCTTTCTCTAGACAAGGAAATAAATAAAATAAATAGACGCACAAAGACTCTCACGCTTCATTAAATTTTAAAAGGAACAGAAATAATGTTTTCTCTAGTTGCTTGTTGAGAAAGATAAATAAAAAATAATCTCATAGATTTGACAGTAAATTAATTGTTAATTTAATTTACAAACTCATCTATATGTGATATCAATTAAACTTTTAGTTACGTAATCGAAGGCGCGATTTTTAAATTCATTGTTGCCAGCTGCTTGGCACCGGGCTGACTAACTGGAATTTAAATTTCCCGCTGGGGATTTAGGTGGCAGCTCTGCTGTAAAAAATGTCAAGTTGTCAATTGCATTATTGCATTTATTTCCTGACATTGTCATTCGTTTTTAGTTTTTTATTACGAGTTTTTAGTTTAAATAAATAGTGTTGTAATACAATAATTGATAAGCTTAAAAATGTTTACTAACAGACTTTGCAGCCGAACATTGTTCTTTTTAGAACCTCTTTTAGTGCGAAGTGGTACAAGAGAGCTTAATAGCCGTAAAAAACTCATCGCAACTTTATTAGAATATTTTGAACGGGAAAGCAGTAGTCATTGTCCTTTATATCCTTTCAGTGCTGTTAAGAAGGTGAGTTTTGTTGATGTAAACAATAACTGTTTATATATTTATAATTAATTTATTTTTGTTTCCTAAAATATTTTGATTAAAAGAAAATATGTAAAAGTGGGCAACGCTGCCGGTCAAGCTTAATCACGTGACTAAAAGTTTATTTGATATGAACTATATATTGTTAATATAACTGAGTATTTAAAATTCCGATTTCCGTCACACGTTCACTTCATTCATATATCTCTTGATCTTGCTTATGCTTTTACTGTAGCTCCTTTACATTTTAGAAGATACCAATGTTAAGATCGTCTTCGTTATCATCACTTTCTGACATTTTGCTGTTCTTGGTCCAACTGGTACAACTTATAGGTATCAGCGTGAGCTTAGCGCCCTTTCACTGAAATTAGCACCTCATAGATGATTGGTGCAAGCCGTCTAAAATTAGTTTTATCTTCAAATCAATATTATGTTTATAAGTGTCAGAGCTTGAGCCCACTGAAAAGGTCGTATCTAGTGCGCCACTGAAAGGAACGAAGAAATAATTTAAAATTGACAAAATTTGTTATGTTGTTTTATTGATTTGGAAGGTTAACACGCCAAAATATTGTGAATTATGTATTATTTTTATTTACATTTTTATTACGTTGTTTCATTTTCACAAATAAAACCTACCTATATTTTGATTAATGGTTTGGTAAATAGAATAGTATGAAAGCTTGTAGGAAAATTTGTATTATTGTTTTTTTTTTAGTCAAGTAAGATTTCGACAGACGATGACAGATAAGGCAGATGACGTCCATACCAATCCATTTATTTTACTAAAAAAGTTTCTAATATTTTTTAAGTTAACTATGGATGGTTTTATATATAAATCCGTCATGTGTTGTCTCTTGTTGTTTTTAACCAGTTTTATTGGTTTATTTCAAAAATGACAAATGATAGGTATATCAATATTATTGGAGTGACGGAAGATTATTGGAGTGACGATGCGTACGAACTCGATTTAAGATTTTTGAGGCTTGTCAAACTCTTGCCAAATTATTGGTTATAATTTGTTTCAAATTATGTCAAATATTTGCTAATTGCTTTTGCATTTTGGTTCGTGTTATTATTTGTGTGTTTTATGTTTTTTGAAGTTAAGTGGAGGAAAAATCGAGGGAAATTAACATTAGACCCAGAGCACAGTTTATAGTTAGTATTCGGTGCCTATAGAGGCCCACCAATAGCCACCAATAAAGTTTGTATACCATCTCGTATATGGAAAATCCTAGCAAATATATATACACCAGCTGTCTAAGTAGGAAATATATACTGGAAGACTGGAATACCGCCAACATAATTCTAGTTCATGAAAGGCAGCAAAGACATCAGAAACTATAGACAAATTAATCTACTACCAGTAACATATAAAATATTTACAAAAGTAATAAACAACAGATTACAAAACACGTTAGACGCTGCACAACCGCGAGGACAAGCAGGCTTTAGAAGCGTACTTAGAAGCGGACTTCCACTAGCCATAGAATTTATAGACTTTGAGAAGGCTTGCAACTCGATATATCCTAAGGCAATAATAGAAGCCCTAGCGAAACAATGTATTGATAGGCCTTATATAGAAACTCTCGCCAATATATACAAAGAAGCCAAGGAAAAATAATGATATATAAAACAACCCCAGAGTTCCCCACTGGGGAAGGAGTATGACAGGGAGTCGCCATATCCACAAAGCTATTTACAGCAATACTAGAAGAAACCTCCCGTCAACTGGACTGGACTAATAGGATTAAAAATAGATGGAGAATATCTTAACCGCCTTCGCTGACGACATAGTCCTAATTGCCAATAGTCCTGATGCAAGCACAAATATACAGCCAGCAATAAAGTGGGTCTCAATATGAATTTAGCAAAAACAAAAATAATGTACAACGAACTAGTGGAAAGAAAAGACATTCTAATAAATAACACAACGCCGAAAATAGAAGAATATATATATTTGGGACAACTCGAGGGACAACTAATACACAGCTCGGAATCCTTACTATCAGAAATCAACAGAAGAATGCATGGAGTACTTACAATGGAAGAAACTCAATCATATTTAAATCTAGAATGCCACTCTATCTAAAGAAGAAAACATTCGGCTAATATGTACTACCAGTTATGACCTATGCATGCGAAACCTGTACACCTAAACCGGACATCATAAGGAAACTGCAAGTCGCACAACGCTCGATGGAAAGAAATATGCTGGGAATAACCAGAGGGACCGTGAAAAATAGAGTGGATACGACAAAAGATCCAGGTAGTAGATGTCATCCACAGAGTCAAATCCTTCAAATGGTAATGAGCAGGACACGTGGCAAAAAGAACAGGACAACAGATGGACTACAAAAATTAGCATGGTACCCATGAGGAATTCAGAGACCTAGAATAAAACCGAATCTGAGATGGGACCATGATATTAGGCGATTAGCAGGAATAACTTGCGCCCGCATATCCAATAATAATAGACAACAATGGGGCCAACCGAGGGGTGAACACTTAGGGGATTTATGGTGTACACATGAGAGGATTTCCAGGGGATATACCGAGGATGTAGTGGATGTACCGAGGATGTAGTGGATGTACCGAGGATGTACTAGAGGATGTAGGGGATGTACCGAGGATGTAGGGGATGTACCGAGGATGTACTAGAGGATGTAGGGGATGTACCGAGGATTTACCGGGGATGTATTTCGAATTATTTGGGGCGTAATTTGCCGAATGCGATGTTTCAAGTCATCCAAATTTGTGGGTTGTCTTTTGAATACATTTTCCATAAGGTATCCTCTTCGGTATCCTCTTAAAAAAGGTTTTTTCTAATATTTTTTTCACTTTTTAATTTTTAAATGAGAATAACTCCAAAAAGCTTGGATTTGGGTATAGCACTAACATGGAAAATATTCAGAATTTTAAGGGCAATTCAAAAATGCAGAAAAATAATAATTATGTTGCCACGAGGGTTGCCATTAAAAGAAATTGTTTTGGACAAAGCATTTTTGAGACACCCTGTATAATATTCATTTTTGGCATAATCTGCCCCGGAAAAATTAAAATAATTGATGTGGCCGAGCGATTTCCAAAAAATGTGGTTCTCGAGATGTTGATATTTATTCAATATTTTACAACCACCCTGTACGAAATCAAATAAGATCGAATATCGATATTGTGAATATAGATAGATATAGATATTTCCGATATGAAGTATTCATAAAGAGATATAGCGGTATCTGTTATATCGATAGCTATATCGATATTTATGGACCAATATATCGTTACTTGGTTTTCACGTATGTGAATTAGCTTGTGCACATCCGTTTTTCTCAATGAATTTATTAAATAAAGTTTGCACAAGCCGATTTTCACAAGCCGATTTGCACAAATTTCATGGGAGTGAAAATGGACCTTTATTTGATATATCGATAAAAATATCGATACTCAAGGCTTTGTGGCTCACCCCTACTCATAACCTCAAAATATCTCGCAAAATGTATGTATAAGTCAGATATATAGCCTTTAATCCATATCTCTGGTATAAGTTTATGCAAAAATGTGTTTGGCATGTGTGTTCATATCTTATTGCATAGTGCCGTAAGCGTTATGAATTAAAGGGAAGTGTGTGTAAATAATTATTATTGTACCCTCTATACGTCAAAAACGAAGTTCATAAATGCGAATGCCTTTAACGTTGCCTATTTTTAGGTCTGTTTTATAAAGTAGATCCTCGGTAGCTACTAGATCTCATTTTTATTTGGGGTTCAAAACACGAGATTGATAACTTTGCACATAATATAGGGCTTTACGCATGACTAAGTTATTTTTTCCGCCGACATAAACTGCATAAACCGAGGCATAAACTGCTGTTATACAGGGTAAGTCTTAAATAAGTGCAAATATTTTCAGGGGTGGTATATTTTGACCCCAGGAACACGTCTATGATGTTTTTTTTGCAAATAAAATATGTTGAAAATCGTGCATTTTCTTTTAAATTTCCCTGTATATTTTTCGAAAACTTTTTAGAACTGCCTGTTCACCGCTAATTTTCCCACGTTATAAATTCTTAATCTCTGATATTACCATAGT